GATGTAACTCAATGGCCTTAGGCGATCTCGTCATTGTCTCGTATGGGTGGCAGGTAGTTACCGAGTTAGTTGATTGGTTGCCTACTGGGATAGTGAGTTAGTGTTGGTGGTGGAGTCAGAGGAGCGGATAATAGGCACGAGTGAGCGTGCGAGAGAGACTGTAATGTCATAATAGAATAGCGATGTTAGTAATACCATAGCTCGGGTGCTGCTGTTGGTAGTCCAAGCGATTGACTGGTCGAGCTGAGTGGGTCCAGCCAATTTGCATCACATTGTATACTCGTTACGCTTCCATCTGTCCCGTTGTCTACCAGTGTGGTAAGCAAGAGAGAGAGAGAGAAAGAGAAATGCTTCAGAACCGCCGGCAATCAGGGAATCAACCCCTCACAACTCTCTTGCTCTTCATCGTATATCTAACCGTAGTAGTGTACTATTCCCTACCAGGAAACCCTACATTCGATTATTTTCAGCCATCGTTATCGCTTATTAGCCGCTTCATCACACCACCAACTCTATATACTTTCATCAAACTTCAATCCAATACTTTTCAAATCCAATTCGAAAAATCCCTCATTCTGATAGATCCACTTAACACTTTTTTTCTTTTATTTATTTTATCAATCATTTATCTTATTGGTGCTTTTAATTACTACTACGTATCAGACTATGTTCCTCTTTGATTTTGTTAAGATAGTTTACGTGATAACTGAAAGAACTTTTCTACTAAATTAAAGAGAACATTTTTAGTTTTATTAATATAACAAGTGTATTTTTATTTGTGATGAAAAAATAACATGATTGTACTGATTTAGGTTGAACTAAAAGATTTCTACTTGTCTGGTTTTAATAATTTTTGAAATAAACCAATAACAAGTTGAGTGTGATAGAAATTACTTATTTCTTTTTAATTATTTTTTTGACAAATACTATTACTACTCGTAATTTAGTTATTTTTTTGACACCTCTAATTCTTCTTCTATTCAATTCTAATATGACGGTAAATTTAATAAACAAATTTCCTGTATGTAAATGAATTGATTTATTTTGTTAATTTAACAAAGTACCTTTCTTAGAATAAATAAATTCTAATTATGAGATAATTAAAAATATTTCCTCACATTTAGGGATAAGTGTACCCAGTATTTATTACTTGAAAATTATTGATAAGTTTATTTAAAGTCTTTCAGAATAATTGTTTCTATAAAAATTTAAAATTTAAAATAATTCTAAAATTGTTTATTGTTCAGTAACGATATCAATTTGTTTATTAAAAATAAATCTTTCAATCAACAGTTACTTTGTTTAAAAAAATAACCAATTCGCTCGAATAAAATTGTTTATCTTAATTCCACAAAATTGAAAGAAAGATCTGCAAAAAATATTCTGCACAACAAAAACACTTAAAAATGTTCCTTCTCACTAGACAATAATTATTCAAAATGAATGGAGCATTTTAATGTTAGAAATACTGGATAATTATTTAACAACTATTTCAGTGATTTTGAATAGAATAGAATTGGTTTGACAACCTCACACAATAAAGTTTTTCCCCCTGACAACAAGTGTACATGTTATACTTTCAAGTAGATTTTTTGTTGTCACGTAATGGATCAGATCAGATCAAGAATGCAAACATTTTAGATATGTAAAAGCGTGTGTGGTGTGTGACGAGGAATGAAAATAATATTTATAAGTAAAAGCATGGGAGAAAGAAAGAGGGAAGATATTACGATGAGTAGCTTTGATCTCCACCTCTCTAACCTCCCTCTACCCCATGTTCCTTCTCTGTACTCTTGTTATAGCATCTCACTCGTCCCCCTCAAAATATCAACTAAACGATAACTGCATTTATTATTCATTCATCCCGCTTCAACATGCAGCTTCTCATCTATCCTTGATATAAGAATCTTCTATGGTGTGGTTCTTAATTTGCAAAGTAGTTTTTTAAAACTACATACACCCTTCATGCCTTCGTAATGTGACTTATCATTTCAACAGAATGCAATTGAATTATTCAGAACAAGTCTTGATAAAATAATCTCATTGATTGGCCATCAAGCTTCTAATTTTTTTAATTTAATTCTTTGAGTAATTGAATTTGATAGAAAAACTTATGTCAGTAAGAAGAATGAAGCTTTCAAAAGCTCTTAGGAGATATTAATCGACCAATTTGAATCATGATAGTCGTTATTATTGATTAATAATAGTTAATATAAATTGGTTGAGTTTAAATTGATTTGAAGTAAAAGAAAAATATTGAAGATGAGAGTATAAATTGAAGTGAAGGATATCTTTTAAATGTGATTGAATATAAACTTTGGATTAAGACTTATGGCAATAGGTCATTCCAAGATAAATTCTTGACTTTGGGGTTGCTTGAAGAGTGACAGGAGACAGACAGGTTACAATATAACAGGGTGAAACCTCTGGAGATTTTGAACGGACCTCGACAGATGATTTAACGTGGGTTACTACCTGTCAATATCAACCAACATATAAAACATGTATTTCCTGTCAATAATATCTAAAATTCAACTTTTTTCAAATTATTTAAAGGTTGAACATTTTTTTATCACTTTTCAGTATCCTTTTAATGGAATAATAAAATAGTTTTATTGTAAAAAAATTGTCGTTTATTATCTAAATCATAGTTTTGTTTTTATTTGGTGAATTCTAAAAAATCCTGACAGCATAAAAGAAATTTATATCTTTTTTATTAATATTATTTCAATTGATTCATTGCTATTCAATTCTCATTGTTGAGTTTCAATCAAGATTTCACTTTATTAAATTTGGTAGGAGTTCAAAAAATATATTTAGAGCCAAACAAGATCTAAGATTCTAGAAAAATGTGGAAATAAATGAAGATTCTTTTTCCATGAATTAAACTGTAAATAATTTTATTAAGAACATGATTTGGATAATTTCGTGAAATTGATAGTACAAATAAATGGGATTTTTTAAAATATAGTGTTAAAAGTAGATTAATAAATATCATTAAAATAAAATAAATCACCAAATGTGGTAAAATAATCAATCAATAAAAATAGATTTCTCTTATTTCCAAGGACAAAATGATTTCCTGCTAATTCGAGCTACATTAAATCAATTTGTGAATGTTGGCTTGTTAAAAAATAACTTGAAAAGTACGAAAGAAGAAGAAAAAAAAGGAAAAATAAATCAATAAAATTTTCTGGAGTCGTAGCCAAACATACGAATCAAGGGAAGGAAAAAGAATTTGTAAAGTGGAGGATGTCTGAGTCTACTCCTCTTTATCCCCTCTGGAATGAAAAGGAGTGTTGAGGAAAGGGGATGAAGATGGCGTGTAGGAGAAGTCGACCTACCCCGAGTGCTATCCCGCGGGCGTAGTAGACTCTCTGTTTTCTTGTTTTCTCTCTTTTTCTCCCTCTCTCTTCATCTTTCCATCTTTTCTCTTTTCCTCTTCATCCTACCATCCTCCACACTTCCGTAATGCCCCTCGTTGCATTTTAAATCAAAGCCCGGAGGTAACGCAATCACCAAGCATCACGACGCTTCCACAATTTTCTACTTTAAGCTACTTTATGTATTAGCATCTCCCCTTTCTTCGCGCCACCATCTGTCCTTCTCCAGTGCGACGCTACACCTACACCTTCTACCATGCTTCAATACTAAACATGGTATCTCTGTCATTCTCGTTGACTTTTTCGACTTGCCAAAGTCTCTCTGGGCACAAGTGTATCCTTCTCTTACTATCCCTGATGTTATTCCGCGCGTTACATTACTCTCTCATGTCTCTGATGCGATCCCAGACTCCAAAGGACGCTAAATTCTAACTCAAAGTCTCCCTCTCTTCACTTCTCGACGCCCAGTAGCGATCTAATGAGGTTATTTCATTACTCAATTTCATCTAGACCAGCTTTCAAACAGGCTGGCACCAGGAATAAACAACTAAATTCAACCAAAATTTTGTAAGATACTTCTAACTAAGTGTTATGAATCTAAAGTACTATCCAAATCATTACATAATAATCAGCTTATAAATATATTCATTCAATTCTGAAATATTCATCATCAAAAATAATACTTTTCATTTTCCTAAGAACATACTGAACACTAGTGTTCCCTAATTTGAAAGTATTAAAACCATCAGGTGATCATGATGATGCAAAATATATTCGCAATTAAGAAACAATCTCCATGAAAATTAAATAGTGAATATTTATTAAAATGGTATGGTAAAGACTGTGTGATGTTAGTGGTAAAAGCAAAGAAAGCTGAAGAAGGAAGTATATGAGAGTATGAAGTGGAGAGGAGTGAAAGAAGAAAAGGAAGGGTTGTTGTACCAAGTCAATATAGAGAATCACTCTAGATGAGGAATAAACACGATTTACACCCAGGACAACTATCCGCTATAACATTGGCCAGCACACAACTACCCCCTTAAGATCAACCCTCGCACACATACTACCACATGATTTCGTTCTTTAAGTCGTACCTTGTAGTATAACCGAGATATGTTTGTCGTTTGCGTTATTTGCCCAATAAAACCACGTGGTCCATCCCCATTTCCGTCAAAGATGGTGCTTGCAAGTGGGGGTTCTACAAACGCCCACATACAGTAGCACGCACGCTCGCCACGCCTTTTAGACATGCTTTCGGTTGCCTTGGTGGAATTCAAGCTCATGCACACGCTGGCTACTTGGTTGCCTCAACTTCTTTTCCATCTCTGTATCAAGACGAAGCTTGCGATGAACAGTTACCGGTTGTTTTGAATATCCAGGATTCAATTACTGATCAATACAATCCTGATTGATCCTAGCTTGATGAAGGATTCGTTATTTAGTGTATAAAAAAATCATTGTGAAAGCTCTACAGGTGAAGTGAGTTTCAATAAATGGCAAAAATTAGTGCAACTTTCGATAATAAATTAACTGAAAGTGAACAGAAGCAGCTAAGGAATCATTGATTTGAGAACACAGTGGTAATAAACATTGCATTTATTAAGTGTTTGAATAACGGATAGACACGGGATTTGAAGGTGTTGGTGATTCGAGCGTCGGTCACGGCGCCAAGACCGACAACGAATCTTACCAGGAAGGAAGACTCTGGAGGTCGTGGGAGGTCCGCGAGGTCGCGGAGGAGATCGGAAAAGTGTTGTTCAGCCACGAGTCCAGGATTCTCACCCCCAGTGGTGGTGCTGTCTCGCCCGGAGGCACTGGGCCTCCTGCGAGCCCACCAACCGGACACTATCATCCAACAACACATAGTCCACCACTTCTCAAGGTAACATTTATTCATTTACTTACACTAACATAATCTATCTTTTCATTATTTTAAATTACTAAAAAAATTAAACAGCAATTAACATGTAAAAGCAATCAAATAAATATCTGGATGTCAATATGAAAATTATTTAGTACTCACAAATCAATTAAGCAGGCATTAAAAAATTTAAATACAAATTAAAATGCATGATGAATTGGAATGTGTTAAAATATAGTCTATGATAAATTTCTGAAAATAATAATAAAGCCTGTTAAATGCATTTAAAATATGCTATTAAGTTCAATCAATATTAATCTAAACAAATTCAATAAATCAATTAAAGTAACTTGAGATTTTTGCGCAAAAAATTTTTAACCAAATCAAATGATAACAGGGTATAAGGGCGTTTGTCAGAACTTATTTTTGTCAGAGTGCAACCCTGTCGAATCCCTCTAGGGACATAGCGGCAGCTGTCTACAACAGCTAAGCTTCTCCAGAAAGCTTGTCAGAACTTTTACAAGCCACAAATCATCTTCTTTCTTTCATTGAAAAAGCCAATCACTTTGAAATGAAAACTTGAAAAAAAAAGAAGAAGAAGAAATCCGAAGAAATAATATTTTTTTTTAAACCATTGTCAATTTATTAAAGTTGATTAGACACTAATTGGAAAGAAGGCAAAATTCGTTAGTAGATAATGTGCAGTAAGTAACAGACATTGTGGTCGACGGTGGCGCGCGCTGTCTGCCGTCCAATCCTGCTAACTTAACCTTATTAATAAATTAATTAGATATTATTGTGTTGGCAGCCAGGGCGACAGCTGCGGGTCTTCTCCATCTTTATTCGTCTTCGTCTTTATTCTTTCTCTCTCTCTTCATTCTTTTCTCAGTTTCTAATCTCTAATATTGTCATCTACTGCGTACATAAGTTTGCAGTAGTTTGCTATATATTGTCGCAGACAACTAGCCCACAGATGATGCATACAAATATACACGGATAAATCAGGTCCTGACCCATTGACGTCATTTCTTCATAATATTTCTTGATAATAACAATAAAAATATAAAAAATTTTTTGTTAAATATACATTCTCTTCTTAACTTCCATAAAATTCATTTCGTTTGATTTGCGTGAGTTAAAGAGTTCTGTAAATTTAATTTAATTTCCAATGGAATTTAAATGCACGAGCTAAAATAGACATCAATTTGTTAGATTTAAACTAATTTTTTGTTTCTAATATTTAACTGGATAATTTTAAATAGAATAAAATATATATTTAAGTTTAAAAGAAAATTAAATAAAGTTTGTTTTGTTTTCGTTGAAAAAATATGTTGGTACAGATCTAGTATTTTAGCTGTTTGAAAATAGATGAGTAGAATCACTGTAAAGCAATGAATATTTACTAATCCATTTTTTAAGAGAATATTATACCAATCTGTTCTTTATTATTATTTTTTTATTTAAAATATATAGATTAGAAATACAGTATGATAGTTTGATTCCAATTATTTATAAAAGAAGTGAAAAATAATTGCTAAATGCATAAATGAAAGAAGAAGTTTAAAAATAACATTAAAAATGAAATCAGAATGGTGATAATAAAGACAAAGGATAGTATATTAAGCGTTTGCGAAACAAATTGATGAAAATAGTCGACTGATTAATTTTATTCAGATCCGCAATATCAACGACGATGAGGCTGAAGTATGGTCAATCAAGTTAGAGCAACATATATAGCATGTTGGTCGTGGCAAGAGAGGGCAAGAAGTGGCTCGTGGCACTTGCAGATGATACCTATAAGATGACGTTTAACGATGATTGATTAGTTAGAGATTTAATCGGATGCAAATATGTAATATCGTTAAATGTCCATCTTAATGTGTAGATACACATAGATATAACATACACATAACGAGATAGGGTTTAAAGGAAGTGTCTACCGTGCCGCGTAACACAGAATAAACGGTCAGTGACGCGCGGTAATGGCCGACATCCTAATCCTGGCCCCCTACAGTTTAATACTATACACTCGACAATGATAATGCTGCATGTGCTTTTTATCATTATCAGAGTGACCGTGTGGCCGGGTAATGAGAGCTCAACGGGGTGCCATCGTCCTACATTATGACCCCCATTAAATTATAGGTCCTAATCTGACCTTTATATTTAAATAAATTTGATCAATAATTTTGTCAAATATTTTTTGTAACTTCATTATTTAAAATTATATTTAATATAAATATATAATTTTTTGTTATATAAATCACATATTTTTTCTTTGTCTTCTTGGGTTCTTACCGTCTACCAACATGCTATAGTTTGTTTATGGTGTTCAACATTGTAAACACTTAGGTATTTTATTATTAAACACTTTAAACGCTTTATTACTAAACACTCGAACTTTCCTAGATTTATAATGATGGTTAAAAGGCTCAGACGAAAAAGAGAAATTGAAAGTCCATAAGATTAAGCATATGAAGACTCGTCTGGGATTGATTCCAATGATCTTCTATGGAGGAATAGTATGAATGTCTGACAATTCTAGATCACTTGATAACAATAAAAAAGATTATTTGTTCAGTACCGGTGACCCTTTTTATCCTGAAGATTTAGCATGGTTCACATATTGGCACCTTTAAAGAGCAGAATTTTATGAGAGTTAGGGTAATAATCAAGTAAAATCATGTAAAATTGTCATTAAACAGAAAACTTGAAAGAGAAGATTTGGAAGTAATCCAGAAAAATCTTGAATTAAAAAGATTGAAATAACAAGTTGAGTATGAAGGTAGATTTTTTCTGGTAATGACGTGATGAATTTTTGACAAGTCAATTAGTGAATTTAAGTACGAAGGGTACATGAAAAGTTGTGGTATCAATTTGTTTGAATATTTTGATCCAACGTATGTGCAAATGATACAGTAATCTTTAGAATTCCACAATCACAATTTTCCTGGTTTGTTTTTGGCCATTTTTATGTCACATTCAAGCTTCGATTTCAACCAATAGAGGTATAGGAAACCTCACTCAAGCGTTTTAATCGGCGCGCCTCTCACCATGAATAATTGGTCGCGTCACAAATAAATTTACCGATCAACGATGCAGTCAGCTTGGTCACTGTATGTATAGCTGATGATCGGCTTTACTGCCTCCAATGTAGCAAATGTAACAGAGTCACAGTACAGTAGTAGGGAATAACGCTGGTCTTACACAACTTGTCCACGTCCATACTTTTATTTATTCAAAGCTTCATAACACTGCGAATCCATGGATTTACAAACCACATTAAGCTTCCCCTAAAACCCACGTGGACAGTCTGGTAAAAAACTACTTTCACGATATCGGATTGTAACTATCAATATCCGCTTGGATCGATCAATTTTTCACTATTTATTTTCATTCATTTTTTATTACATATTTTTTAAAAGGCTTTTGTATTTAATACCATGATTGTTTATCTATTCTATGCAATATGAATATTTTATTTGAAAATTTTACATGGTATTAAGAGAAAAAAAAATAATGGATGTGCCACAAAAAAAAATCCGAAAAAGTGTTGAAAAATTGACGAAGGATTTTTGAGAATTTTTTTTTTTTTAAACTAAAATGGAAGTAAACAGAAAACAGGTTAAATAAAATTGTGATCAGTCTAGATGTACTGAGCTAAAATGAATTGCACGAGAATAAAGAAAAGTGATGGTCTTGCTTTCGTTAAAAAAGAAAGATTGTTAAATAGCATATTATACTTTTTTGGTGCAACAGTAATACCAGATTATTTTTAATTGAATATATATTCTTAATTGAATAAAACCTGGTCAAGAAAATGATAAAATTAATTAAATTATCTATCTTAATATACATTTAACTGATTAATTAAATGAATAAATTAATTTAAAAAAATACTCTACTCATGGTTATTTAAGGAAATTAATGTTTATTAAAAATACTTTTCTTTTTTGAAGTATAATATTTGATAGTAAATTTAATAATTTGTGTATGAACTATTTCAATGTTTCCATTTAAGTAGAATTTTTATTTAATTTAATAATAGAGAATTGCAAAAAACCCGTAGGTTATTTAATTGAAATATAACATAATTAATTGTGTGATGTTGATAAGAAAAGATTGATGGTATTTCAAGATGATGATGAGGTCAGATAGCTTTGAAGATGAAGATGAAGAAGAAACCAAGAACGTGCTAAGAATAAATATCTGGACTACTATGTATTTCTACTACCACCACTACTATGACTTGTTCTTTTTCTTCATCTTCTTCGGGTGGAGTCGGTCAATGCTCGGCATTGCTATGGTGGAGGCGTTTGGAGATGTTTCTGATGGTGTTGGTGGACAAGCTCCACATATGATAAACCTAAGTGCGATAGTGTTAGAGTTGGTATTATTGCCCGGTCGTAAATTTTACCGGAAAGCGATTTAGCGAGGAAGCGGCAGGAATAAATCTTGGAAAAGTCGAAAGGCGTAAAACAGGAGAGGTGGGAAAAAGAGAGAAAAATGTATTGAGAAGAATATAAGATGCGGGTTGAAGTAGCAATATAGATTACACTATGTACCAAATATATTTACACTTATTTCATGTTATATAAATTATTATGTAAACATACCTGTCGAAGATTTATATACTTGAATAAAATATCGATAATACACTTTTTTCAATGAGACTGAATAATTTTCAAATAAATCAGCCATTTATTTTCTATATTACTTTTTAAATAAATTCAATGCAACCGAGAAATTGTTTATTAATAATTTCACGTCATGGAGCATTACGTGCCGATACGTTTTTTATTAAAAATGTAAAATTAACAAATAGATTTAAAATTTATTTATTCTAAAAAATATTTCTCATTATATTTAATTGATCAAAATTGCTTTTAATAATGCTTCAGATGCAATTTAGTATGCAAAAAAATATAAAACGTTTTCGCAAAAATATTTAATTACAAATGAAAGAGAAATTAAAAGAATTAAATATTAATTTCATTATAACTAATCAAAATGAATTATTA